ATCGTCGTTGATCTATAAAAAAAATTTATTATTAGAATTTACTATATGACCTGCATTATGTTTGTAATTAGACCGATAGTATACACCCCATTATATTGGGGATTTTGGGATTTTGGCAAATATTTGGGATTTTGGCAAATGTCCTAATCCCAGTCCCAAATTGCAGTAAATTGTTTGGTCCCATCACTACTACTTACCCAACGATTAACTCTAAAATTAATTAAATACGCAAAATATATAGTAAATATTAAGTTATTATTAAAACAACACGCAGACATCAAATTTATATGATTTGATTGGTACTTCATCACGTGATTATACACGTCCTTATTCATTTCTGAGCGTATATTATTACTTCTGAGAACTTAATACCGTAATAATTATTTATACTATTTGATAGAAATTTTGACAATAACTAAATTTAAGGTCTTAACGTTATCAGTCTAAAAACTTTCCATAGTAGACTAGTCGACTTTTTAAGGTTATGTGAAGGCTTGGAATTAACGTTAATGTATGCAGACAGTCATTAAACCTAATGAATATTTTCAATTAAAGTTTTTTCGGTAAGCCGACTAAATTTTATCGGTTTAATCGACTATAGGGTGGATAAAACGCGAGTTGATTTTTAAATAATTTATTCTCTATTAAATGTATAAAATGGTGATTAAAAAAAATAATCAAATAAAAAAAAAAGATATATTTTATGAATATATATATATATATAATTGTGTCATTGAATCATTAACTTGAATTATGAATCCATAAATCATATCAGATACAGTGCATTTATCATCATCAATCACAAACCGCATATCCGCGCGATTCTAATAAATAAAGGTGTTGATATTTTAAGGCGTCAAAAAAAAAAAAACAAAGTTAGGAAGATATATACATTATATAAATATAACGATGGCACCAAATAGTTTTATTATTCCTGATTTTTCTGATCTTTTCCAAGATTTACCTTCTAAACAACCATCCATAATGTCACAGTCACAAGTTGATAAGCCCGGTCCTATAATAGTGAGACCTTTACCTGATATTCAGACTTTCATAGGTACTTATTTTCAATATACAATTCCCACAACTTCTTATTACATTGTGTTATCCAATGATGGCGACACGAACAGATTAGTCTTTTCCGCCAATTTTGCTCCGTCCGATACCGAAAAATGGGTTAAATTTGATGACAAGTTACGAAAATTATCTGGAACTCCACCTAAAGATGCTGCTCAAAACACTACTGTACATTTACACATCTCGGATCCTGGGTACGAAAGCACAAATACCACTATGCACATTCTTGTTTCAGACTGTGAGGGTGAGATGTGTATTAATTACATACCACCAAAAATTTTAGCAATAATCATTGTTTTATCCGTCGTATTTGGTATCTGCGTTCTTTCTGTGCTTGGTTTTATTCTTTTCAAGAAGTGGCAAAAATGGGTTAAAAAAATTGCTTCACGCAATCAACCTAATTTCCTTTCAACGGCTCCAAGACATCATGAACAAGATCACCGCGGAATTGTAGAAATGTCTCAGTCTTATCCATTCAATGAACCAAACGAATCAAGATGTAAAGTGTGTGATAATATCCTATCTGAAGAGTTAGACAAAGTACAACCAACCTTGTTCTCTGATGGCACTGTGAATCAATTTCCATTAAATAATAACAATTCTGGTTCTCTCAATTTAAAAAACGTTGCTTTTT